GAAAAGGTCAGTTTTCAAAACGGGTAAGAGAAGGCTACTCTCAAAACTTCTGCCTTTAAAATTACCACCATGTGTGCAATTAGCAATTTTACCAAGGAACTGGAGCTTTTGATTGTAAATTAGTTTTCTTCAGACTAGCAAAATCAATCAAAATTAATTTACAGGAATTATTTCTCACAACATACAATCAGCTTCAGAGTTTCTCTAACAAAGCCCAACTGGAAGTGTAGTAATTATTCACAGCAAGTATGTGGACAGCATCTTGTCCACTAACTCAAATGATTCAAGTGTATTTTTCCATTTTTATCCATTAGAATCTGAATTAACACACTCAAAGCTAGTAAAACAGTAATACTGGAAGCAGTTAAGTAATTATGGCTACTTTTCAGTAGAGACTAACTAATCCTCTATTTTTTCAATACTGTATTATCCAGTGCATACACCTAAACTGCACATTCACATTCCCGCACCTCTAGGAAGACACCTCATGTTATAGAAATACAGACCAGATATTACGACTATTTCATAAATATATGCAAATTTCTTCTATGAAAGCCACAGTCCACACCAAACCATCTGAAACACAAAAGATATGTGCAATGCTAGCCACAGAAGACATCTTGCCACTAAGCCTCCCAACACTTTGTTAACATGCCTGCCCAGTTCATTATTTTGATTAAGAGATCATATTATAAGATTAATTATAAGATAATATCTTAGGAGATGAATTCAATGCAGTTGCTACTGATGAATCCTGAGGCACCTGAACTCTGGAGCTGGCTTACAAAGCTCTACATGGAAGAGAAGAGCTCCAATTTTCCTTTCAGTTGCACCCAGCAACCACGGCGACTGCTGGCGGAGAGGGGTGGGGGTGCTTGGGTGAGATTCAGGGAAGAGTTTGATTCTCCAAATCCCATATCCACTTGAAAGCAGCTTCTTATCCAAGTTCTCCCCTGAGAGTCTCAACTTGGGCACTTCCACTGATGTTTAACGCCTGTCCTCTCCTCAGGTTTTGCTTTTCACCTTACCCCTGACATGACAAAGTTGTTTACTGACTGCATTTCCAATCTTAACCACCGAAAAGTAACAGTTATGGGCCGATGTATTCCAAGGACTGTGCTGCAAGCTAAGTGACAACTGAAGAAGCTCCATAGCTGTTCACAGGGAAAACATCTTTGGTTTTCTTCCATCCTGTTTCAATAGCTCTGGTAGACTCAACTGATAACTTTAGCAACTCCAAATTCAATGCAGGGATGTAGAAGACCAAGCTGTGAAAAGTCATGTTATCAATGAAAAGACCTAGGGGCTGTGACATATCATAGGATTAGTGAAGCTAACCTTCTAGCAGTGGTTAGCTGCTGTGCCAGCAAGGTATTAGGTAGTCTGGCTGGTATCAGCAGAGAATAATCTCCTCAGCGTTTGCCATCCAGGCAACTTTCCTGCAGCTGCTGCTATCACCTCACTACAAAGTTAGAGCTGATTTTCAACAGCAACAACTGAAGGCTATCAGTCATTCCCAGGCAAAAGGTTTGCAGGCTTATGCTAATACATCACTATCCATTTTATAATGAGTTACTTGAACCTTTTAAGAGCTTTCACCATGCCCAGGCTGTAGACTCTCTCATGCATTTCAAATCAGAGTCGCCGCAGCTAGCCAGGTACTGCCAAACAAGAGGTACGCTCTGATTTCAAATGAAAAGGGATCGAGTGTGGCCTGTGTCTTAAACACATCTGTGCACCATAGACTGCAAATTTTCAAAGCAGAAATATTCACGATATTGCAGTACCAGAAGAGACCACCAGCCAGGAGCAACCAAAGGCCCACAGCAGAGAAAAGAAGAGCCAGGAGCACCAGGACAGGGTGGCAGACAGACAAGTGTTGAAGAAGCCAGGAAAGCAGGTAGTTGAGACAGTGGCTGGTTGGAATAGGAAATACTAGACAATCGCAGCTGGAATAGAAAGGATAATGTTCACCGTGTGTATCAAATAAAGGTGCAGATGAGCACTTGCACCGAAATCTGGGTCAGAAATTCAGTACTTTTGGGTGAAGACTGGAACCCAGCCCCTGAAACCACTGGGAGGTTGGTCTTCATGAGTTTGGCTTTCTCACTTGGAAAGCTCTCTCTCAAGAGGAATGAGGTGAGGTAACTTTTAGCCTGAGACTTTGACTCTTTACAAGCTGGCATTTTTCAGGATTTAGGTCTGCAGTAGCAAAAGTACCAGTTCACTGACACAGTGATGGAATTTCAGATGGAATTGATTGCAATTAATTTTTAAATTTTCTTTCAAACACATGTACTTCTAAAACTTTGCAATGGAGCCTCACATACTGTATTCAGAAATGGATATCTATATGGTGAGAAGTTGAAATACGGCTTAAATAGGTACTGAAAAAGAAATTTCACTTGCTACTCACAGCAGATGTACCCCCCAACTTCCATGAAAACAGCAATACATTCTGAGTACAGTTTCACCTAGCTTCCACAGAGCAGCATACACTAAACGCATAAGAATCTTTTCCAGCATGACAGTCACTGATGCTGTGCCTAATGCTAGCAGACAATGGAACTTAGACCAGATAGGAAATAAACATAAACGTTAATTATTTTGCTGAAGATGAGAAGGTAGGTGGCATTTGGAGCTGGCGTTATTGTAAATAGGAAAAAGGTATGAGAGCTTCTTAGCTTAGGGCTTCGAAAATACCAGAAATACACATCAGGAAGAGGCTAGCAGGTTAAGAAAGGACCAATATAGTTCTGTGATAATAAGTGAGTGAGGAAAGACAAAGAGTATGTGAAATTATTCATGAGAAGACCATTTTTGTCCTAGACAATTTGAATTACCCTCTTCACTGGACAGATGCTGGGTGTGGTAGAGGAAAGTTGACTTAGTTTATCAGGTTATACACTACCACAGTTTATCTGATTCTTTTTGCTAAAATAATAAAAGCACAAAGCCTGGGACCGTCACAGCAGGGTAGCAGAAAGCAGAGCGGCAGCCCCGTGCACCTCCCAGAAGCACCACAGCAAATCTCAAGACCTCATCCTGCAAACATTCATGCACAAGCCAACTTCATGTGCTGTGATTAATTTCCCTGACACCATGTGTCTTTCATTGCAGTGCACAAAACCAAACAGAGACTTATGTATTTTCAGGATGAGGACCTAGTTAGCACTAGTCAGGCATGATTTAATGCCTCTGTACTTAATATGCAGCTTACTAAGTGTGAGAGAATTCTAGGTTTTGGTACAGTTTGTTTTTTTTGTCCACCACCCCAAATAGCATGTATGTTTTTCAACATTAATGCTGAAAGTGAAATACTGTGTAGTCACTGACATTTGTTTAAACAATTACAATGTTGTCTAATGCAGCTGGGAACGGAGGTACAGTAGTCTCATATTTAAAAGCATGGCCTTTTATATAACATTAGAGAGCTGTAGTGGGCATGTGGCCCATTTGTGATTCCCCAGTGGCTTCTGTTTTTCACAGGAATTAATGTTCTAATCACAATGTAACTATAAAACACTTTCCTTGTGATCATCAAGTATCAGCAATTCAGTGATTATTTAATGCACCTCACTGCATATGCTATGCCAGATGATTCAAATACCTTCTGGCAGAAGAGATTATGGGGTATTTCTAATTAAAAAAATAGTGCTACATGACAAAATCATGGTAAGAGAGAACATCAGGGATGTATAATAAAGAGGTAGAAAAAATGCCTTCTGTTGCACTGCAAGAACGTCCTTCTGTGGATTGCACTTAGTGCAACAACCGAGTGGTGGATCAGTGTTCACGGTTACAAGACGAGCTGGTAGCCTAGCATCAGTCTTTACACCCTTAGAAGTTCTGCATGTACCCATGCTCAGATCAAGGAAGATTCCTGTTATAGCATTTAAGCTATGTAAAGTTGGAGGCAAAGGTTTTTGACCGAGGCCATATGCCCCTAAACTACAATTTGTGTCATAACGTTAAATCAGTTACCACACATGCAGGATGCAATGTTGCTTAGCTGTACACCCAGTGCCCACAAACTGCACCGGGAATCTTTCAAATCACTTCCCAGAGAAATAGATTAGGCCCCCTGCAACACTTCAGAAATATACGTACAAAATCAAGAGGCAGAAATAACCTTCACTGAAACACTTAAAGACCTTAACGTACCGATGAGACATAATAAATAGTGCAGTTACGATTGATTACAGTATCCTTAAGCTAATTATCAGTTATTTGCCGCAGTGTCAACTGCTGCTTTAAAAATTAGCATTCCATATGCCCACTTCTAAAACTATTATTACATGTGGAGAGCAATAACTTTAGGTTTGGGGTGCTCTTTTTTAACATTTCATAGTTAATTATTTTTAACTTTTCATATTTTTTCACAGTACATTGACTTCACCTGCTTCTAACTGAACACCCAAAAATTGCTTCATGACATTTATTGTCTGTCATATGACCTCCTGCTCCATTTTTAGATGGTCAACATCTTTTCCAGCTGTAGTGCTTGAACTATACAATGAAATTAAACGAATGAAAGTTTTCACCCTTATTATTCTTACAACTTCATAAATACTCAGATTTCAAAGTTAGGTATATCCATAGCCAAAACAACCAATTTAAAAGCAGTGAGTATGTAACAATGCTGAACAAATATTGACTTCTGGTTCTGACCCAGGATTTGCTTTCTCTCAAGAATACGTCAGGTGCCCAGGACCGGCCAAAGACCACTGAAATCAATGGAAAGACTACCAGTGACTTTGATGGAATATGGATCGGGCTTTGAGTATAACGCTGCTAAGTTCATTGATTCATCACAAGGGTTGAATTTGGCTTTGGCAGATGTAAAGCAGTTCATCCCACGTGCCCCTTAACAAAATGCATTAACTTCACTCTTCCACCCCCAGGAATTTATATCATTTTTCTATTAGCTTTGTTAAGGAGCCCCAGCACTTGCACAAGGAAGATGAATGACTGAAAGACATATAAGCATTTGTACTTACAGGTATCTGGCTTGAGCTGACTGTTGGTAATCCCAAAGTACTGGGGATTTTCAATGACGGGAATCTTTGTCATACCGATGATGACTGCATCTGGACCGCCCTCAGAAGAAGAAGGAGTGTTGCTGCCATTTGAGATGTGATGGAGGGGACTTGCCGAATCGTCGTCATTGCTGATAACTGAAGAAGGACCTAGAATTAGAAACAGAGAATTCCCTGTAACTCAGCAAATGAAAATTTCCCCTCCCTCAGCGAGTCCAATTTTTCCTCTTTTTTGACCAGTTTGCCCTCAATCCTCCCAGGCAAGAGTTCTCTTTATGTCCTCTACTCACATCAGGAATTTTATGTGTCTGAGTGGAGACGGAGAAATAGGAGAAAAACTTTGGTAGGCCATTAAGAGTAAGAACGTACATTTTTTTTTCTTGGTAGATGAACTCCTTCTATTATTCTTAGAAATAAGTCATGTATTTACATGCATTTATTGTTTTTATCTTTTTTCCTACTCAGATCACATGGTAATAATGCGTTTTCCCACAAAGCTGGGGAATGTCCACCTGCCCTTTAAGGTGACATTATAACAAGACAGCAGATATGGAGGAGATAGGCTCATCCTGATATGGAAAGCTGTATGATTTCCAACGGATAAAAAGGCTGAAAGCCAAGATCCAAAGCACAGTTTGGAGAGTCACAGTAGGTGCATGGCAAACACTCAAAAGAGCAGTGGGAAAAATTCATCCCACCCCACGCTCCACCATGAGATCTGGCGTCACTTCACAGGGACTCAACCAGCCCAGGGGAACATATCTCTAGCTTTTAAGGCCCCACCAATACCTGAGTCTAGTGGCCTTCCAGAAAGACAGGTTTATTTTGATCAGTAATTTAGTGACAGTTTTTGTTTTATTCTCACTTATATTTTTTCATGGAAGTAGCATGGAGATAAACACAAATGGGTTAAAGAATACCTGCTTAGCACAGGGTGTTCCATTTTTGTGAGCTATAGGGGCCTCTGATATAACATTAACACAGATAACATTTGCAGTCTTGCAATTTAACCCCTACTGGCCTGGTTTACATCCAGAATTTAAAGAAAATCAGAATCATCATGGAACAAGGGCAACCTTTTGCCTAATCTGCCCACTGAAGAGCCAACAGGGAACACAGTCTTCAAATTTCACATCATTCTCCATCAATGTTAACGAGGCTTTCAGAGTGGCATTCATGTCTCTTAACGTCAACAATCAAAAAACTAAGCTAGAAATAGATGGAATAATTCACTGCCCGGAAATGTCTATCCTAGTATGGCATCCTCCAAAGGCACCTCCGTTTGCCCTGCGGGCAGGAGTGAGAGGCAGGACAACAGCAGCATTCACAACAATAAAAGAAAGGGGTAGCAGAGAGGACTTTGGGGAAGACAAAAAGCCGTGTCTCATTCAAGTTGACAGCTGCTCCTTTGCAAAATATTGGAGCTCCAGACTGAGGGTTTAGACTGAACAGAAGAGGAGAGTGCAGAGGATCTAAGTATCATCTGCACATTCGTGGGATCTCTGTCTGCAGGTGAAATGGGGGGCATGCAGAAGGAGAGAGGATGAGGACTAACAGCAGGTCCTGTGAACACTTTGTGGAAGACCAGCGAGAATATGGGGATCTACCATAGCACATGTTCAATTACAGGAAGATGAGAACTAGGAGAGGTCCAGACACAGCAGCCAAGATAGGGTAGCTTTAAAAAAAAGAAAACTTAGACTCTCTTACAGTTTTGTGGTTCACAGTATCATAACAAAAGCACTTTATCATGACATGGCATGGCTCACAGGAACAGAACTTAAATAATCTTGACATGCTGCTATTTCAACCCTAGCTGTACTCAAGCATACTCCCACCCCTATCCAGCTTTCCCTTCTCCTCAATTGGTTTAATGGTGCATAAGGGAAATGTTCTCATTGTTTGAAAAGGTACTTCCCCCCTAGTCTGAAACATTAGAGGTAATTTTTCAAATGCCTTGCACTTCACTGGAAAGTCACTGTTGACAAATGTAAGCGGTGCCTAGATCTCTGCAATTTATCAAGTGAAATGCTAATACCAAGGCTGTTTTTGTCATTACTGATCACCCAGATCCTCAAAAGATTGATTCTACTAGGAAAGCTGCCAGGATTACGAGGTTTTGGTGAAGATTTTTCTAACAAAGTGCAGAGACTAACAAACTGTGGGAAATGGTCCCTCAGATGGCACACAAGATATGTACATGAAGTCACAGCACTGTTTTGAGGTGCACCTGAGTGCACACAGCAGAAATAGAGTGCAAACCCATGAAAAATCTAATTTAATTTTCCTAGAAAACATCCTGAAGGCCCCAAACTTTCTGAATCTCAAGCTAATGGCACCAAAAACTAGGCAGAAAAATACACATTTTCTTAGGTCCTTTTGTACTTAACAGCTTTAGTATGAGATTCAAATTCCTTCCTTTACAGCAAATTCTTTGGGTTAAATAATTTAGTAGAGGCACTTGTCTAAGTCTTTTTCAGCCTTGCTGGTCGCTGCTTCACAGGAAGAAGGTTCCTTTGTCATCGTTTGCTTTCAACACACATGCAGTGTTGGCAAGAAAAAGTGTCCATTACACATTTCTACGACAGTAAAGCAGGATAATGGAATAGCAACTCATTCTGTTCATTAAATCATTTTTGCCCTACTCTAAGACCCAATTTGTATGGTGAACTATTTTTTCAATCAGTATAAACTGTAAAGTGCTGGAGGTGAAAAGTAGACAACTGTTCTATAAATCTAATTACTCAATTAAGCTAACTGGTAAAGCTAGCCTTCCGTGTGATATGAAATAGACCCTAAGTATATTTAGCTCTCTGAAGTAACTGAGGAAAACCTGGAAAATGCGGTGATTCCTGATGTGCTTCCTGACTATTTGAAACAGCTTAAGAAACATTTAGCTCTTGGAAATTTGTGCAGTGTCACTTAGTCATCCCTCTCATTTACAAGTAACCTTCTCATGCAATGGTCTTTGGAAGTAGTTGTTCAAAACTCCCATTTCCACTTGCTGCATATTTTTTCTCTAATTAAGACAAACAGAGCTCAACAGATAGATAGAAACTTTTGCATATCAAAGGCAGTTGGACTCACACCCTTTCAAACATCCCCTTTGCTGGGATTGTCTGATAATGTGACCAAACTGGTACACAAACTATTTTTGCAGTTGTTTATATGTCAAACTATCTGCTTTCCATGAAGTTACATTTCATATTCTGCATACACTAAGTCACATTATACTTACAGGCCAGCACTGCAGCTGAATCCTCATAGCAGCAGCTCATGAGTGATATTCCAGTAATGCAAAACCATTTTCCAGAATGCAAGATGAGGCCATCATCTGCGCTGGCAAGAAGCTAGAGCTACTCTTTCCTGAATTTGCACTGAGCACAAATCAAAGAGTAATTTCTTAAAGCGCCTTAAAGACTGGTTTCATCCTGATTAAGTGGGGTCGCTTAATTACTTTTCAAACGCAGAATGAGCAGGATAATTACTTGCAGCCCCCTATTATTGATTCTAGTTTCTAATCAAATCTGCTGTTAGTTTCACACCCGAAAACCAAAAATTTTAAACAAAATGTCTTTGGTGGAAGTGAAAATCATGGGTTGTCAATAGCCATTACCCTGCATTCAGCTTGAGCTCTTAAGAAAACTCCAGAGGCTTTCTCCATCTTCATATGTGCTGCCTAATATCTTCATTTGATTCCATTTTTGGAATATATTTCTTATCTTGAGAAGATAGAAGCTGGAGCCAGATGAGAAATGGTAGCCTGCCTCAGAGAAAAAATATGAGACCTACATATTGCAGGGCTGAATTTCTCCTCTCTCTGATGTTGAGCTGAAAAACTGTCTTTTTTGCATTGCCCAGGCCCAAGAAAAATCTCTCCTATGTATAAAAGATATGCTATCTGAAAAACTGGAGACATATAAGAAAACTAGTTCCACTCTAAGCTGACAAGCTATAGTAAAGCCAAAATACTCCCCACATCTCTAGGCTGTGCAAGATCCTTAGGCAAATGTTATGGAGAGAGGCAGAAAGAGCAAACTTCCCCTGCTGCACATCCCATAGAGAACTGGAAACAATTATGTACTGTTATGAGGCTCATGGCTTGCTGTCATCAGAGCCAGCATGAGCCACCCCTCCCTGAAATACAATCCTTTTCCACACTGTCCTTGACCTAGCTGGTACCAACACACTTGAGTTTGTAGCTGTACTTTCCCTAGCCTTAAAAGAAGCATTCTTATGAAATTAACTCTTTTCAAGGTATTCTCATATTTTTGGCCAGGAGAAGGAGTTTTGTGATTATAAAATAGATATACCTGCTGCTCTATAAAATAGATAGACCTGCTGCTCCTATTACCATCAGGGTTAAGGTAGTTTTAATATGCACTCTACCAAGACCTATCCACACTGTCACTTGCTGGGGATAGGTTTTGCTCTCTGTTATTCCAGACCTCTGCTAACTCTTAGGTACTTGGCTGTGGCAACATATTTGACTACTGGCTGCCACTGAAATAATCCACACGACCTTCCTGTGTATCAAAGCACGGAAAGAGTCCCAAAGTGAGTAACAGCACTACTCAGCTAAGCAGACTCAGGCAAAAAACATAAAGAAGAGGATAGGCTCTCAAATGCAGAGAACCAGAAAGAACATATGGTTTTGGTTTGCGCTTGGCATGGCCTTGCTAGCACATATTCTCAGACTTCAGTTCAGATGGTCACAAACAATCACCGTGTCATCTTCTCCTTCCACCTAATGTGTCAAACATACAAGCAATCTATTGTATGTTAAGAACTGTAACAAGGTATCCTGGAGGCTACGGTATCCCATGTCCCCCTTGCCATGCATTTCTGAGCATCACACACCACTTGAACTACCCATGAAGTCACAACCAATGGCTCACCCATGTGAGGAAGCAATAGGTGTAGTAATCATCAAGGACAGCCAATTTTAGCTTTGTGGTTGGAGCTGTGTAGTTATCCCAGAGATGCCTCTGCTTAGTCAAGTGTTACAAGGCAGCTCAGGTAACAGAGGATTGTTTTAGAGGTGGCTTTTGTACTGATGCCTTAAAAACCATGGCTCCATCCATGAAAAAGGATGTTGATTCCCAGGAAGATTTCTCAATAGATCTTGCACTAACATCGGTTCAAGCTTCTTTCAAGCTCTTATCCCAAAAGAA